AGAGAGAGAGAGAGAGAGAGAGAGAGAGAATGAGAAGGGGAGGAGGGAAAGGATCATTATTGAAACATAGCGTAAGATAAAGAAGGCTAGTTTAGAGATTTGAACCATTGATATCAGCGCCACAGTGAATCATTGTGTGTAACCGAGGGGTTTACTTAGTAATATTCTTTAAAGTTCCGAAAATATTCAGGAAGTTATTCAACAGAGGCTTTGTTTGGAATGTTGAAATATTTCTTCTTTTTTCATTTGTCGTAATGAAAATATCATAGGATTTACAAGAAACAAAGCAATTATTTGAACGTTTTCTGCTACTCGTTCTTTCCTTTTGGAAGACTTGTTTTTTAAACTATTTTTGATTCACAAAAAAGTACATATCAAAATAGTCGTAAAAGACATAAAAACATTTCATAGAAGTCTGATTGTTTGTTTTTTTTCAGTTAGTTTAACATTTCTCAAAAGGTCTCCTGGTTCACTTAAAGAGTCGTCACATCATTCTGAGACACTCATGAAGCTCAATAAACTGTCTGAACACTCCACTTTGTTAAAAGCCAGATGAAAATGTCACAAGCGAAAGCGCAGTAGTGATCAGCAAATAACCTGACGCTTTGACCTTTTTTTCTGAGTAATGTCCTCCCCTTGTGTTTTGTCATGCTGAAGACTAATGTGTGCATTACATTAAAACAAAACAAAACAAAACAAAACAAAACGAAAAGAAAAGACACTAAACGACCCCCCCCCCCCCACAAACCAACAAAATAGAACTAAAAACAGTAGGCAATATGAACGTAAGAAGCAAGTGCAGTTGTAATCTTTGAACTTTCCTCTCCAACAAAAAAAAAGAAGGAAAAAAGGCTTTTCCAATAGCTGCTAACTCACAATGGAATTCCTCTCACTGAAAGACGCTTACACTGACCGCATTGAAATCTGGTCTGAAATACATTAATATTTATTTAACATCCACTGTACTTAACAGTTTGATTGTTTTACCAACAACATATGTGGTCAGTAGCCATAGTGGATGTCTTTTTGTGAATGCCTTCTTTGTCATTTTATTATAACAATATGTAAAATAATATACCTTTGAAAGAACTGTTGTACGTTGAATCGAATCTTATTTTCTTGTAAATCGCCAAGAGCGACCATAGAGTGAACGCGATAGAAATGAGTATTAGGATTATGATTATGATGACATTTATTTAGTATCAGTATTATTATTATTATTATTATTATTATTATTATTATTATTATTATTATTATTATCATTACTGTTGCTGTTGTTGATGATGATGTTGTTATTGTTGTTGTAGTTATTAATACTATTATTATTGTCTAATTGTCACTACTAGTACTGAATTATCAATAGTATCCTATTCCTCTCCTCTCTACTAGGGCAACAAAAAGGTGAAGAGCCTTGACCTTGAGGACAACTGGATCGGCGCAGACGGGGCAGTAAGCATCGCCAGCATGACCTTGGGAAACGATTGCATTACTGAGATCGTGAGTACCGACTTTCGTTCTGCGTTGGTTCATTCTTTTTAGAAAGAACTTCGATTAAGTTTCATTTTCTTTATATTTTGAAAAAATATGTTACCAATACTATTACTGTTATTTATTATTATTATTATTATTATTATTACATTATTATTATCATTATTATTATTATTATTATTATTATTATTATTATTATTATTATTATTATTATTATTATTATTATTGTTATTATTATTATTATCATTATTATTATTATTATCTTATTATTATCAACATTATTATGACTATTATTCTTAGTAGTAGTAGTAGTAGTAGTAGTAGTAGTAGTAGTAGTAGTAGTAGTAGTAGTAGTAGTAGTAGTAGTATATTTATTAACAACATTATTATTATTACTTTTATTATTATTATTATTATTATTATTATTATTATTATTAATATTATTATGATTATGTTCATTATTGTTATGATTAATATGATTATGATTATTATGATTATTATGATTATTATTATCATCATTATTATTATGATTATATGATTATTTTTTTAAATTATAATGAATATTTGATTTTTGTTTAAATTGAAATAATTTATAATAGTTTAAAAAAAAATAATAATAACAAAATAGTAATAGTGATAATAATAATATAATAAAACTAATAAAAATAATAATAATAATATTAATAATAATAATAATAATAATAATAATAATAATAATAATAATAATAATAATAATAATAATAATAATAATAATAATAATAAAAATAGTAATAATGATAATAATAATAAAGTAAAGTTGTTCCCGCATCCGATCCGGACATTCATGATTGCCTTGTTAGTGAGACAACTTCCTAAGCCTTCGGCATATTGTGGTAGGGTGGCCACTTCCTTTATCCGCCGCCTTTACTTCCCCAACTCGAAGTAAGATACCAATTACTGCGGGGTGGGCAGGAGGAGGCTAAAAAAATCAGTGCCCGAACCAAGGCTCGAACAAGGACTTTCCGCTTCGGAGACAAGCGCACTAACCGTACTACTACTACTACTACTACTACTACTACTACTACTACTACTACTACTACTACTGAACAATCGTAATAATTATTATATTACTATTGTTTTTGTTATTTCTTATTAGTATATTACATTTTTATGTGGGGTAGGTGTGGGCGGTGTGATTGTAACAGGGAAAAAGGATGGGGGCTTTTTAATCAATAGATATGACTTGAATCCACAAAGATACGTGTCTTCTAGGATGAGTTTAATTTCAGCATAGATTATGACGTCTTAAAAGTCCCCAAGTTTTGCATGTAGAAGACCAATACTTCACGTTGCACAATGAGGCAAAAGTAAAGGATGGTGTGTCACACGATAAACTGTTTTATATAAATAATTAACTTTTTATCTGCAATTAACCTAGAGTGTAACTCAGTCGGTAGAAATAACTACTTATTTTTCTAGTATACCCCTGCGTTTTGCGCAAATGGCTTACAATTAACTCTTTCGAAATTCAAAATCAGGCTTATCGTTGAAATGGAAAAGAGGTCAGTTCTAAACGTAAGCAATGTAAATTCTGGTCGTGCGCCTGTCAAGATTAGAACCTGCGAAGGCGTTAATTGGCTTTTGTAGTAGTTGGCTCTCCGGGGGGATTTTTGCTTGCGTATCTGCTTTTTGCCGTTTGCTAAAACAGAACTCCACATTTTTTAAAAAGTGTCACGATGCGGTGGAATCAGACGTCTGTCAATTTTTGGGCAAATAAGGTGATTGGTATCATCTTATGGCTTGTTCCTTTTCTTTGCTTTCTGTGAAAAATAAATACAAAAATATCTTGAATAGAAATCAAGATACGTGTGATTGAAGGAGGTGGAGTTCGCCCGATGAAAGAGATACAATTAGCGAGAAACTGGCCGCCAAAGTGTAGTGACTTCCAAAACTGGAGAGTCCCTGGAAACTGGAAGTATACATTTTTTTGTGCCTCACATCAACGTCTCTCGGTAAAATCCACACAGAATTGTGATTTTTTTTTAGGACGTAAAAAGTTTTGAGCCGAAGAAAAGAATTTTCCAAAAAATGTTCAACAGCCATAAACATCCCGGTTTCTTTGATTTCATTTATTTTTACGAGTGTCTCGTAAATCAGTTAATGTGTCATTTAACTGAACATTCCCCTAGGCAAAGTTAAGAAATTCGAACGAGCAGCTTCATTCATCTCAATGACGTATATTGCGACAAAAACCCGTATTGTTTTATTCTGACGCACAGGGTGTTTCATATTAATAATAATATGCTCACATCCATACACCTACACTGTTAATTGATTAAACGTTTGCAAGCTGCTCAATTTTTATAAGCCCAGCTGGAGAGAGAAAAAAAAGTTTCCTCCTTTAATACATTATACAGAAATCATTATGTATATTTTTTTGGTATATGATGACCTTCATTATTTTACTTCAGGCCCCAGTGGCTATGTGAGAAGTGAGTTCAAATTCAAAAGTAATGTCAAGCAAGTGTCGATGACACCGGATTTAGAAGGGTTGTCACAGGGGAGTGTCTATTAAGCAAGACACAACAACCCTAGCTAAAAAAAAAGGCCCTGCACAAAGGAAACTAGCATGCATGTTTGTGGATTTGTTTTTGTATCGGTGTAACATGTATTTACGTATGTATTTGTGTATGTATGTATTTCTCATTGTGTATTTATATATCTTTGTTTGTCATTGTAACTCAAATTTCCACAATGGGTCAGTCAAATGTAATATTGTATTTATTCAGTATTATCATTTTAGCAATTAAAATTTTAATTTTTATGGTAAATATACCTCCACCACATGAAATAGATACCCCACATTAAGAAAATGCATTTTTATTAATTTAAAAAAAAAAGAAAAGAAAAATGAGGGTACGTGAACAGCGAGCTGACGTTACATTAACCGCCATCTATTCACAGAACAATATAATAAAGGATACAGCAATCTAATTTTCAAATGATAGATAAAGAAAGCATGTCTTATACGTTTTTAAGAGTTTTATACTTTCTTTCCTTTTCCCTTTGAAACATGTATCCCTACTGAACTGATCACGCTATTATTCTTTCTACACTGTGATGATAAGAGTGAGATTATCTGTTACATAATTTTTATACAGAATATTTCAGAAAACAGAATAGGTACAAAGGGGATTCGTGCGATCTGTGAAGCTTTGGCGGAGAACAGAACGATCAGAAAGCTGGACGTTTCAGGTAAACAACATTTCTTAAGTATGCAGTTTGAAAAGCAGCGGGTACATATTCTTTTCTGGTAAAAAGAAGGGAACGGGTTTTTTAAAAGACGGATTTGTTCTATCAAGGTACAAAGCAATCAGGGATATAAGAAACGAGCATATTTAAGGCTTCGTAAAAGGATTGGAGCAGACTACATTTTTGTAAAAAGAAGAGAGCATATCATTAGTCTTTCGTAAAAATAAGAGAACAGATTAGTTGTTGTTTTTTTTTAGACAAATTTATTCTCATCAAGAAAGCAAGCAGTCAGGGACATTTTTTTTTAATCGACTCGCTTTAACTTTTCATAAAAAGAAAGGAAAATTTTTCTTTAACCCTCAAAGTTTCGACGAGCTATTTAGACGACCGTAAGTTTTGTTCTGTGGCGTTGCAGCTGACTTCATCGTTCGTTATTTGAGTCGTTATTTCGGTTTGTTTTCTTAGTTTTTTTTATATCGCCAACTTTATAAACTTTTCATAGAATAATTATTTCTACCTCCTGTGTACATTCTACTTTCTGAAAATGTGTAAGTGTGTTTTGTTTGTTTGTGTTTTTTACTCGCAACAACATGAGGTCGTATTAGCGCTCGGAATAACAATTAAGCTTTAATCAGTTTGATAGGAATTCATTTTGAATTTTGCCTGGGTGGAAGTCGAAGGCTACTTTTTACCGATTTTATGCCCGCCAAGGGATCTTTAACGAGCGCAACTTGCACACACAATCGTTGAGATTGTTTCAAACATATCCGAGAAAAATAGGGGTTAGATCTTACCTGCCTTAAGATCAGGGATGTGGGCGAAAGAGTACAATAAGACGGAGCCCCGGGGGGGGGGGGGGAACAATTTGGGGGGGGGGGGGGGGCCAATAGTGTAGACAAAAAGCAGACGACAGCACAGGATTAGAGAGCAGGAAAAGAGGTAAAATTAGAAATGTTGTTAGAGAAGAAAATGTTCCATCACTGTCAGGTTTCGAAACCGGGACCTATTGAATGAGAGGCGAAGACCGTTCCTCCAGACCACGAAAAACTCAATTTTAGGTGCATAGCTTCTACGTTCTCGGCTGCCAATTCTCAAGCATGTTCAACCGTTTGTGGGGAAATCATATAATTTTTCCTGACATCATAAAACTGTTAGCGACGCGTGGGGAGTTAAAAGACAAAATAAATGTATTCTCTTTATGTGTGTTTGAGAAATAGAAAGAGAATAGGGAGGAGGAAAAGACTGAAGATGGGAAAGAGAGAGAGAGAAAGAAGAGAAGGAGGAGAAAAAGAGAGAGAGAGAGAGAGAGAGAGAGAGAGAGAGAGAGAGAGAGAGAGAGAGGGAGAAAAGGAGGGAGAAAATTACCTCCACACATTTTTAGATAAACAACGTTTGAGATCTCCCCATGCCTTTTGTTCTTTCCTTTTCTTTTCTCTTCCTCTTGTTCATATAATTTTCTTTGTTTTGCGTATTACGAGCAAACAGTTGCCCACTTGTGACTGACTTCAATTTTATTTTTATTATGGCTTGAGAAAGAAAGGCCGTAACGCATATCGTTTGGCATGAGGGTACACGCGGTTTTCTAAATAAAAACAACCCCCCCCCCCCCCCCATATCGATCTTTTAAACTCCTTATGAAAAATGATAAATTGAGCTTTCAGTAATCAAAATAACATCCTCTTCTAAAATACTAAATTAACGGTTTTGAACATTTGCAGAAATAACTGTTTAAGCACCCATAGACTGAAGATTGCAGCAAAACGCAACGTATCTGCTATGCTATGTCGTCTCTCCTAAATTATGGATGTTACCATTTCTTTCTGAGACAGCATAATTTAACGACGTTGTCATTATGGAGTTCCAAATCCTGAAAATGTTTCAAAAGAGTTGTAAATCAGAAAACTATTTCTATTTTCTGTTTTTATATTTTAGGAAGCAATCTTTTCGACCACGACGCAAAATACATAGCCATGTTGTTGGAGGTAAGAGGGGTATATTATTTTCTAATTTCGACCACCACCATCATCATCATCATCATCATCATCATCATCATCATCATCATCATCATCATTTTGTCAAAAAGTGAATTGTTCTGAGATTAAGAGGTATTTTCTTTGTATTGGAAAAATGGTGAAATGGTGTAGGTTTAACACCCCTATCAACACTGCTGGGTTATGTAAGAGGCCAGACCTCCAAGTTTAACGTCCATCTCCAAAAGGACCGAGGCAAGTGAAAAATGTATGTAAAGTGCCTTTCCCGAGGACGCAATGTCGGACCGAGCAGAGGTTCGAACCTCTTTGTATGTTAACAGGTAAAGAGCAGTATTGCTTAACATAACCATGTTATGGATATCTGTACAATCTTTTAAGGCGTTTACAGCCAAAATATAATTCACCCGTTTTTGTTCTATTGTAACAAGAAATGCACCGACGTCAGTAGTACGAAACTGTATAAGATAATGTCTCTTGTCCTTCTTTTTTGTACTTCTCCTTGTCAGTCCAACTTTTGTCTCCAAGAGCTGAAGGCGAGGAACAACAAATTTGGAGAACTGGGTGGATTATACCTAGGACCTGCTATAGGTAAATCATAATATTGTGTGTGGATTCGCGATGAAAGCAGACGCTCGTCAAAATAATGAAATAATTGAGGAAACTGGCATTTTCTCGGCAGTTAGGCTAATTTTTAAAAAATAAATTTTTAACAATCATTTTTTTTTGCTCAACATCTTTGAAGTCTATTCAAGAACACATTCCTGTGTAGATTTTACTGAAAAACCTGATTAAAGACACAGAAATGTAAGTTTTCAGATACCACGGGCTCTCAAGCTATGGAAATAACCAAACTTTTGGCACCCATTTCCTCTCTAATTAACATTTGAAACAAAGCGACCTCCACTTCCTTCAATTGCGGATGTCTCAACTTCTATTCAAGATAAACAGCTGATTTTGTCATTGAAGACAAGGCAAATGAACAAGCCCTTAAGATTATACGGTAACTCCTCAAGCCCAAAAATTGACGAGCGTCTGATTCCACGGCATCTTGACACATAATTATGAGCCGTGTCGTGAGTGATAATCTGCCTCCCTGTTGAAGTATTCATAGTTGTGAATGAGCAAGACATAAGAGATCCTACTGAGAAGGCTTTCCTGATATTTGCTTTTCATTAGAAGCTGACAAATAATCTGTAAATGTTCATGTGCGTGTGCCTGTATTTGTGTTTGTATGTATGTGTATGTGTGTGTGTGTGTGTGTGTGTGTGTGTGTGTGTGTGTGTGTTCGTTTGTGTGTGTGTATGGTGTGTGTTTGTGTATGTGTGTGTTTAAGTGTGTGTGTTCATTGGGGGGGGGGGGAAGGTCGTGTTTGTTTTTATTCAAACTTTCCCAGTTTTGACGTCTAGTAGATATTTGACAATAAAAAAAGAAAAGAGTTTGGCAGAAAGCTTTTAATCTTCGTGAAAAGAATTATTAACATGAGAAATGACTAATATTATACGCGATGTCATTGTTGTTCTGTCTACCCTTTCTTCTTTTTTTCGTTTCCACTATTTATTGTTCTCCCTACCCTCCTCTCCCCCTTTCCCTCTTTCCCTCTCTCCCTCTCCCCCTATCTCCCTCCCCCCCCCCTCTCTCTCTCTCTCTCTCTCTCTCTCTCTCTCTCTCTCACTTTCTCTCTGTTCCTCTGTCCCTCTGTCCCTCTGTCCCTCTCCCCCCTCTCTCTTTCACTCTCTCTCTCTCCATATACCCCTCTGTCTCTGTCTCTGTCTCTCTCTTTATCTCTCTCCCTCCCCCCTCTCTCTCTCTCTCTCTCTCTCTCCCTCTCTCTCTCTCTCTCTTTCTCTTTAACGATCTCTCTTACTCGATGTATATCTCTCTTCCGCTTTCTCCGGATCATGCCTTCTTCTCTTTAGACCCCAGTCTCTCTTTCCTCCCGATCTATTTCTCTCTCTACATTTCTGTGTCTCATCTTTCACTTCTCTGCGAGGAACGAGGAAGTGTTTGTTCATAGATTTTGAAAAGTGCCACCTACACCCACAACTTCCATTCTGGGGGATGGATAACAAGACCTCCTTATCAGCCCACAAATAATGCTCACATCACACGAAATAGCCAATACCACCCCACTCCATTTAATTGTTTTCTGTTCCCCCTCATCCGAACAAAATACCACGTACTATTATGTTAGCAGTAAAAAAACAAAAAACAATAATATTATTCTGTGTTAAATAGAGCTGTGCTCGTTCGACTTTACTATTCTATACTCACGATGTTTTGGGAATTCACAGCTGTTCCAAGCTCTCCAGAGCCATTCGAATGATGGATGATTTTAAATATTTGTTTAATTTTATCAGAGATCAAGCATTGTAAACGTTTACGCTGATAGGTCTCTCATTTAATTACTCAATATTTTGAAAATAATGTATTTTGTCTCCTTTTTCTCCACCTGTTTTAAAATTAAAGTGTATTATATCTTTCAAAAAATGCAGGTAAGTACAACAATAGTTTGTACTTGATGATTACGAGATGAGGTAAGAAGTGAAACCTTCCCAGGTTATAAAATATGTCCCTAAGAAGTATTCACTTCTATTCACAGTTCAGTGCGTAGAACATGAAGAGAATTTTATTTTTGAAGCGCAATGAAAGGGTTTTTGTTATTGTTGTCTATTTGCTTTTGTTGTTATTTCTTTTTGTAGTTCTTTTTTGAAGCTTTTTAGTTTAGTTTTAGTAAAGACTTTTACAGCGCTCGCAACTGCATGTTAAGGTCATATGAGCGCCAAGGAGTGGGTGTCAACAGAGAAGTCTTTAAAGAGAATCAGACTTACTCTGCTCACCTCTCTAGCTTAAACAGCACAAGGTCTGCTTCGACTATCAGGACACCCCGGAAATAGCAGGTCACAAGAGAGTGACAAACATACAAAAGAAGTAGAGGGAAACGACAATAGTAAGCAGGGGCGAAGCGTCTATATAATCAAATAATTACTGCTTCCCTTTCTAATTTTGAAACATTGTCGCTGTCAAATTCATCCTTAAACGTAAACCTCATAAATTAAATGTCAAAAGACGTTCGTAATCAACAAATAAAGTGAGGCTGGAATAGAGTTGAAGGGAACATGTGCATGGCAGTCAAAGCTGTTTCATTGCCACATATACCCTGTTCACCCCTTTGGGGCCACAGTTAAAATCAATCACCAGCCCTGATTAAGTAAGCTAACTAACACTGGTCGAGTCTACCTCACAAATGTGAGGGGAACTAACTCTTAATAATCTCTTGACTGCTGCTTGTGCTTGTTTTTTTTCCTCGACTTTTTACCGTCCTATAATCAGATCGTGACCTCGATTATGAAACCAGCTCCTGGCCGCGAAAGGCTAACAAAAACAGCCAAATGTGAAATTTAAAAAATAATAATTGTCATGTTCTACCAAAGAGTTAGACTCACTGGTAGATCTATAACATATAGATCTAGTACTGACATCTCTGCTTCTTTGCTTTATGTTTATGTATTCACATCTAAAGTTAAGTTTAATTTTAGTGGGAACTGATATTTAATAAGATACTTTCCCGATTATTTTGGCGGTTGAACATACAATATGAATTCCGGATTTGTTTTCATTCACAACTCAGAGTCGCCGCCTCGAGTAAGATTCTTGTGTGATATCTACAGGCCCTATCTGGTCCCACTTCACTTTGATTACCCTGTCAAACAAGTCAGCCTTCGCCCCTGATAGTAAGGACTAGGAAAGAAAAAGCAGCAGTTCCCTGTTGTAGATCAGGCACAGTTATGAGGGTGACATGATGAATCAGCCCATTTACAATTCTACTGTGCTTGAACGAGAAATGTCCCCCCTTTGGGAATGCCCTAAAGACACTTCAGTCAGTGGCACTGCCCCGGGGGTTTTTGAAGTTTTTTTTCCCAGCCTGTGGATAGTAAGTGAATGTTGAATGGTAGAAGTTGAGGCGGAAAAAAAACTAACGACATTAGCATAAATCATGTTATTCGAATAGCGTGAATAGTGTTATTACACTTCGAATCGTCGATGAAACTGTTCTTCCTAAAAATCAGATCAGCGCTAATGTTTAATCTTTGACTTTACGACTGCTCTTTCGAAATGAGTGGATCCTGAATCTGTCTTGCTTGCAAAAGATGACAAGGAGCCTTTTTTTTCTCGCCACACTGGAGTCTGTTCTGTCACGAAATGGTCAGACTCTTTGCGTAGCACACAGGAGATGCTTTTTGAAAGAGTTAAATCATTTAACTCTTTGGAGACACACATTCTGGCATTTCAACCACTCGTGAAGACGTACTCTTTTTTTGGGCACTTAAAAAAGAAACATAACTACGTATTTGTACAGATAATTCAATTCTGTTTTCTTTATCTTAAACTTTAAAAATGCAAGCTACAACACGCATTCAATGAAATGTGCAAATTCATGTTTCTGATTTGTGTTGTACAGTTTGTAAGATGACACAACTTGGGTTTTGGTCTGTTGTCGGACACATAGCTACTTTAGAATTACAAACTTCTGTCTGAATTTTTTTTTTGCCGCTTTGAGTTACTAAGAACATGAGGTCAGAAACCAGAAGTTAATCTGCCTAATCAAAATTGCAAGATTATTCGGAATCGTCTTCAAGATGTTCAAAGAGTAGCATTCAAAAAAGCTTGGCGTGTTGTGAAACTCAATTTTTTTAACGTCCAATTTCTCAAATCTTGGTTCTGAGCAGATAGAGCTTTGTAACGCTATGCTAGCGATATGTCTCCGCTGTGTCCATAAAGAGCCAAGGTTGACTGTTCAGTGAGATTCTTCAGACCATAGAAGATCTCTCTATCAGTCCCCCGGATGCTGTCTGCTACCTTACGTGGGTTAGCCCTGCCTGACAAACAAGATTCAAAACAATCTACCTTCTAAAATATAACAATAAAACAATTTCAGACATAAAACAATTTTCAAACATTCCCACCTGCTGTGTCGACGACGAAGGGGTGATGTGTGTCTTGTAATCTCTTATTTTTCCCCCTATCTTTTTCCCTTTGCCTTAAGTTCACTGACCGGACAGAATATAAAAATTGAAAGTAACCTGTAAGTGGTCGAGGAATATCGACTTTGTAAAACTGCAGACGTCTTGACAAAACAACTGAAGACAGCTGTTTGGCAAGGAGATTGGGGGTAATCTGAAAGAATAATAAAGCAGAATTTGTAAAATCACCAATGTCTTGAAACAGCAATCCAAAAATAATTGTTTATGAATGAGAATGGAGTATGGGGTGCCATGTCACAAATAGTACAGGTCTCTACTTCTGACCTTGATTGTCTGTTCTTTAGTTCCTGCTGTGTTTCTAGATTCAAGACCCAAACACTTTGAAAAATTTCTATAACTATTGCCTGTCACTGAGAATTTTGTTATAAAAAAGACACATGCTTTAAAAAATATATTACATATACATAATACATTTTTTTAAATATATTTTTTA